TCCATGGCAGGACAAGCATCTGAAAGGAAGTTACTGCTGCACTGTCGAGTGAGGAACAGAGCTACACTAAGGCAGGGCCTGGAGGCAGGTGGCTGCTGTCCACAGGGGTCCAGAGCTGGAGGCGTTGCTCTGCTCTGCCCACGTTTGCCCAGCACGCCGAAGAGCTGCTGTGGAGCCCAGACATGCATCAGTAAGGCTTACGCGCGAGGAACGCTCACCCCGCCCAAAGAGGAGGCCCTGCCGCTGCCCCTGGGTGAACGTGCTGGCGTAGGGGAGCGGCCTCCGCTGGCAGCTCTTAATGGTTTATGCGCCTCCAGCCGGGAAAAGGCCAAAGACTGGACCCAGACTGTCCAGGAGCACGCTTGGAAGAAGTTCCTGCTCCCTCACGCTGACCTGGGGGGCTAGGTCTGCTGCGGGCGTGTGTGGGGGGGTGGTAAGAGCAGCCATGGCCAGCAGTGACCTCAACTTCACATCCTGAAATGCTGCTGGGTCTTCCCCAGCCTGCCCCTCCCCTTAGCCTCGGCGTCCTCCCGGGCTCACGGTCTTGTACCTATTTCACGCGGTCCAATCGTGTGTCATGGGAATGCCCACCCTTGTGATGTGCTCCCCTCACCACCCCCTCAGCGCGCTCCCCCGGGCCGCAGGGAGGCTCTCCTGAGGGCTGAGCAAGGTCCCACTGTCGGCCGGGCCCACCTTGCGGGTCCAGCCCTCTGCCAGCACACAGGCCCTGCAGATGAGGTGGCTTGCTAATTTCCTCTCTTTTTCCTAGTAAACCTGCCCTTTTAAATACTCCCCCCCCCCAAAAAAAAAGTTTTGTGTCAATATTCACCCGGGGAAATCGGTCTCTACCTGGTGTTGGTGTTAGGGCAAGATAGGTGTGGTGGAATGCACTGGGGGGCGCTTTCAACCTCTTGGGTTTTTAGAGACAGTTGGAGCAAGGAACAGAAGTCCTTGCTCAAAGGTTCCCGGTCCTGCGCTTCAGTTGGGGAAATATTTTGTGTTACTGTTTCAATTTTCATGCTTCATTAATGTGTTTCTTCCTGGGTCACTCTTGGAAGACCATGTTGACCTAGAAATTTGCCACAGACCTCCGTCCTCCGTCCTCAGGGCAGCGGTCTGGGATTTTTCCCCTTCCAGCTGTGATTCAGCTTACTAATGTTTTCTCTCTTTGCTGTGACCTTCCCTCAAGGGCTAGCCTATGCTTTTTGTTTGTTTCTTTCACATTTTAAAGGACAGGCTTCCTAGGAAAAGGACACAGAAACCCAGAGGCACCCACGTAGGTAGCCCCTGGGGCAGCTCAGTCTCAGGGCCCTTTGCTATGGGATCGCCAGTGTGTTTCTGCTCATATTTGTATTTCCCCTTCTTTCTAGTAACGGCTGCTACACAGGACACAGCACCGTGACTGACAGGATCTGGAACGTGCTCTGAGCCAGACCACCCCATGATTGCTTTCTTCTCCTGGCCGGAATGAGAGGATCGCAGGCAGGGCGGCGGTAGGGAGTGGCCTGTCACACAGGCTTCACCACTGGCTCTTCTGCTTGCAGGCACGAGGCTCTTCCCAGTTCCAGTTCCTTGAGCCCCACCAGACTTGCAGCTACCACTGGGTCCTGCGGCCGCTGTCACTGCAGAAGAGGCCAGCGAAGGGTGTGACAGAGGACCAGCTTGAAAGCCACCGAGCCCTGCCCCAGCGGGGTGTGTGTGTGTGTGTGTGTGACTGTCCAGGAACATTTTGTAGCCGACTGTACTTACCCCGTTGCCAGTGAAACATTTTAAAACATTTTAAAACAAGGCTACGGCCCAGCAGCTGGGGTGGGGCTGAGCTGGAGCCAGGGAGGCCAGGGCTGGCCTGCCGGGGCTGGAAGGGTGCCCCGACCCTGGGGAGCGGGCCTGTGTTCACGGGTCCCTGGGGCCCGACACCCGTGTAGCCTGGTGCTGCACTGTGGAAGGAAGCGAGGGGTGAGGCATAAACAAGGGGCAGCCTTCCGTCACCACAGGCGCACACAAGCTAGTTCACTTGCTCGCACTCCCTCCACGTCTGTTTCTGTCACAGTCATGCTCAGCCTGTCCACAGCCCTAATCCCCTTGCAATAAATGTTATTTTGGGTTGCGGGAATGCGAGGAGGAGCCTGGCACCTGCACAGGGCCTGGGCGCTGATGCCGGCTGAAGTGCCTCTTTCTGGGGGGCAAGGCGTGTTGGGGTTCTGCGGGGAGCTTGTCCAGCATGTGAGGGAATCATGGCTCAGGTCTCTGGAATTTGGGATGAAAATACAGCCACACACACACCTGAACACGTCAGCGCCTCCTCACCGGCTGGGACCCTGTGGAGTTGGCCATGAGCAGCAAGGAGCCATCAGAGGTGCAGTGTGGCCCTGGGACAGCAGTCTGCACTTCCTTACAAAGGTCCACATTCTCAGACTGTCATGCCTATGGCCTGAGCCCATCCCTGGCCAGGGGGGGACCTCAGGGCGCAGCAGACCCCTCCTGTCTCCCCGCTGCTCCCTCAGCAGTGGTTCAGTGGATCCGCCTGTGCTGCTCCCCACTCTGTCTCTGGGGGGCCTCTCACCCACTCACCTCTGGCCTGCACCCCAGTTCCGCTATGCAAAATAAATAAAAGAACTTTAAAAAAAAAAGGATATTTTAAAAAAAGTTCAACATAGAGTTGGAATGTGATGAGGCGAGAGGCGGAAGGAAGCCTACAGCTACAGTGAATGCAGAAACCAGACAAAGGCCGTACAGTGGAGAGTGATTCACACATGAACAGCACAAGGCCTGAAAACAACCCCCTAGGGAAGGCCGACAAGTGGGCCAGCGGTGAATGACCCCACTTGTGTGAAATGGCCAGAACAGGCGCGCCTCGAGAGGCAGGAAGGCAGTTGGTGGGGTGCGTGCGATGCCTTCTGACCTGCCAGCTCTGCGGAAACTGAGGGGTCACCATCACTTCCGAGGTCACCATGGTGGTGATTTCAGCGCAGCTCCAAGAAAGGCTGGAGCAGCCTCAGCAGGTGGGCAAGAGGGGCTTTTGTGTTGGTGCGGAAGGTCCGCAGGGCGACAGGGTTCCAAGGACAGACTGCACTGTGAACATGTATGTAGGAGCTGCGCTCGGGCAGGGAGGGACTTAGCAGCTACAATGTCTCCACAAGGTAAGAAGACTGTGAAGAGGCAGGCAATGAACAGAGCCCAGCGAGCCCTGCACTAGTGGCTTTCCAGGGGCCACGGGCTGCAGCGCTGTGAGTAAGGGCAGCAGAGGGGGAAGGGGCTGTGGAAGGAGGAGCAGACCTTTGTTCAAAAAAGGTCACAATGGCACGGCTCAGTGGTTGACATAGTTGTTGGGAGACATCGTTGACCCCACCAAAGATGGAAAGGCAGGCAGGGCTTTGTGCAGAGGAAGGACAGGTGCTAACAAAGGGCCGACGGCTTTTCTGTCCAGAAGGCAGTACCTGGAGAAAGCAGAAGCAGCGGCGCTGCAAATACAGACGGTCCCCGGGAACAGCAGGGGCCTTCCGCGTGCAGGACTGCGTGGGCACCGGGAGGGCGGTGAGCACAGCCTGCATCGACATCTGCTTTGGGAGCTAAGGGAGTGGAGGGGCCGCTTCGGAGCAAGACCCAGACTGAGCAGCCGCAGGCACGAACTGCTGGCACGGCACCTGCTCAGCCCGAGTGACACCTAGGGAGCGGCACCTGCAAGAGGGAAGCGACACGGTGGGTGCATGGAGTGGCTGCGGCATGGTGTGACACGTCGATGTCAGTCGATGTCATTGCTACCGCGGCGGACAGCAGAGTGACTCCACAGGCACGGGGTGGGGGGAGCCATGTTGCGAGGCGGCGTGCGAGGAGAGTGGAAACATGCCCCGTGCCGGGGGGATCCACTGCCGCGCTGTGTCGTCCGCGGCGGCCGGGACTGGGAGAGGCGGAGGCTCGCCTCTGCGGGCGGAGCAGGGCTTGAAGGAAGCCGGGCGCAGCGTCACGGGCCGGGAGGCGTCCCTTCCGGGCACGGGGCCGGTGCCGGCCGGAGCGCGCCCGGAAACAGCGCCGCTCTGCGTCGCGAGGCAGCTTTTCGGCCGCGACGTC